TAACGCAGTTTGAAAAATACACGCGAGAGTCCGAGAGACAACACAAAAAGCACAATACAGGATTTGAAACTACTGTACATTGCTTTTCGTGCTGTATATTTAATCGGAATGAGTAAATGGAAAATATGTTATACCTCAAGATTCAAGAACTACGAAACTTGGGATGCATATTGAACAAATTTGTCAAAAAATTAATTTTCCATGAATCTTGAAGTTCACGCGATGCCAATTTTGTCATTATGCAGTGTTTTACTGCCCGGTGAGTATGCATCGTTTGATTTTAATTTAGTTTGTTTACATGACTGATATGATATAGGATTCGGGGCCATTTACAAGGGTTGTCCCCACTTCCCTGGTTGTCTTTCAGTACATCGAAAAAATTAAAAAAAATCTGTTCATGTTATTTTGCTGGAGTTGTCTCATCCATGCACAGGGTTCATCCCTGCTGATTCCTTAAGTTTTTATTCTAAGAAAAAAGTGCTTCAGTTCTAAATTTTGAATCATTGTTCATTTCATTTTTTATTTTAAAAGTATTGATCCATACCACATTTTTTTCTTCACACAAAAAGTAATCATTCCTGGAAAGAAGAAAAAATTGAATGATGCATTCCAATTTTTTTACTTTTTTTTCCTGCATTCAAAACTTTGAAACGCATAATTCCAAATTTGTTTGTTCATCTTTCCAGGGTGATTAATTTTTGTGTGAAGAAGAAGAAAAATGTAGAATGCATCGATACTGTAGTTTTAAAATTAAAAAATTGAAATGTACAATGATCCAAAATTTAGAACTGAAGCACTTTTTTCCTGGAATAAAAGCTGCTGAAGGAATCATTGGGAATCAGGGATGAACCCTGTGCATGTATGAGACAACTCCAACAAAATAACATGGACAGCATCTAATACTGCTTATAGACTAGTCTACTGCTATCCTGCCTTCAGACCGTAACCCAGAAAATGAATAAATAAACAGAAGTCTTCCAAAATCTAAAGGTAATGAGAAATACATCTCAAGCAGAACCCAGGCTTGGGGTAATTTTTTTGAAGAGAAAAGACAAAAACAATCAGAAATGAAGGAGTTCTTTTAGAAAAATTCAAATTGGACTTAGTTATTCCATTTGTGGTAAACTAAATGATCATTGAAAATTTTTGAAAATTACGAAAAATGTAGGAAGTATTGTTCTAAAAACAATAAGATATGTTCAATTTTTTTGTCTAGAATTAAAAATTTTCAACAGCTTGCGATGTGGGTGGAAAACACGTCTCAAAAGCTGGACAGTTTTCCTTGATTGTCTTGCAGTAAATCGACGAACGTTCAAAAAAAATCTCAGAACCTTAAAATTGAATGATCTAAATGTGTATTTTTTCAAGTGGTACCTAGTCTAGAAATACCCAAGGTCAATCAGAAGTGGGGACAACCCTGGCACAGTATATAGAAATGTGCTGGTCTTGAGCAGCGGTTTCGTTCAGGTTTTGAAACTTGGACTCCTGCATACGAGTACTGAGCAACACTGCGGATGGTAAATAAATTCTCGAAATCATGCCTTTCATGAGCGAGATATGCAAATTAGGACGTGGAAATCGTCGGCATAGTACATATTTCGTAACCTTGGTTGTAAGGAATAATGGGCATTATCCGTATTCAAAGCTGGAGCAGGAAACACACGCCCACTTTNTCATGTACTGTATATACAAAGCCTCGGTGGTATTATTGTACCTACACCTGTATTGCTCATTCACCTTGATGAAAAATGAGAGACCCAGACAGAAACACAGGATGAAGCCTCGATTCAGGAGGGCATGCTTGCTGTGGGTAATCCATTATAATGGCACACAGTCTCAATCGAAACTGCTATGAGACTATGAAATATGACAATGATTTCCCTACAGCAGCGTGACATTTTTCGGCAATTATAAAAGTTTGACTAAAACTATGCGAGGTAAATTCCAAGCGATATTAACTCATCAGAGTGTTCACAAATAAAGTTGAACATCATGAATTCAAATTTGAAGGGACTCCAAACATGTTTGGCTCAAAAAAGAATCTTAGGGTTATTAGCTATACAGAATTGTGCTTCCCACGGTTGATGCGAACTTATTTTCAGGCGCCAAGTCATCAGAATCTTTCATCCCTCTTACATACTCTTTCTTCATAACGAAGATTCCAAAAGTCCCTCGCGAGAATTATTGGCCGTTCTTCATTTGATGTATTTTCTGTAAGAGGTGTTCGAAATAAGTACGCATTTCGAATTAAATTTCAATTCATTGATTTACAAATTTGACTCGTGCAGGTTTAAGCTTGAAACCCAAAAATTTTCAAGTTGGCAAGGTATAAAAGTTTCGTTGGACTTCAGGGAATTGGCCTCGGATCACCTGGAAGATCTGGCAAGATCCGTCGGCGCTGACAGGGAAATTTAACTATTTTATATTAATTTCTCACGCTCGATCCTCAAGAAGAAACAATGTCGATATATTTCAAAGTTCAATGATGCTTAGAGTTACAAATGATTTCACAACCAAAATAATCATGGCTGTCGCTTCTTTTCCCGACGGTGAGTTCAGAATGACTTCCCATAGCGTGCTTGAGTTTTTCGCTCCTCACATACGCGCTTACTGCGCTCAAGATTTCCAAATATTTTCGAACAGATTAACTCAGATCCACAAATGTTTCATTCTGAAAATATCAGACAATTCTTTAAAAACGCTATTGCCTCACACGGAAGCCGATTAGTCGCTATGGAAAAATTTGAAGCATCGCATGATCAGGTTTTCACATCCTGTGACACAGCCATTCCAGAATAACTGGGTACGAAAATGAAGGCATGGTTCAGCCCCATGGGAAGAGCAAATAGGCATTAGCTCTATTGAAACATGATTAGGTGGTGCAGGTTCTGAGCAAAACTTTCCGCTTTCGACAACGTACACGATTCCACTTCGATTGGAAAACAAAATAACATTACTATTGGACTATGAGTGAATTGAGCAAAACGTATTCCTTTTCCGGTCCGCATTGGTTCACGCTTGTTTCTCGTTTCACAAAGAAACGCACTGATGATATACTGATATGAGAGATCATCAAACAATCAAGATCACCTTGACGAGCACCCAACAACCACGAACAAGGAATAATCTTGGTTTTGAAAACCAACACAAACGATTTCACGAGCACACAAAGGAAAACAAAAACCCATAAAAAACAATAAAAGATTTTGAGATCCGGCAATTCCTTTCCCGAACACAAGAAGAATAACAGGTTAACGCATGCTCTTCTTAGTGCAGCTTTACGGAACTGGTAACCGATGCAGACGATGACGATGAGCATGCAAATACTTCCCAAACTCTGAAAAAACAAAATCGCGTTAGTGATGAATTGAAAGCCACAAAAACCTTATACCTCCGATAAAGAACGAAAACCTGAGAATCCAATTTTCTTCAACCGCCCATTAATCACAAACCAGACGGTAAATATTTTACATCGTGAGTTTTAGAATGTGACAAAAGTTTTTATTAACAATCCTCTTGGAAACATCAAAAGCCACTATCGGATCAGTCACAACTACACCAAGAAACAGAATGAACTGAAAAAAAAATCACTACGATTTTTCACAACACTGAGGGACAAAGGAGGAACAAGGAAGAACAACAAATGATTTACGATAAAATATGTAGCAAAATCTTAGACCCAGTAGAGGTAATAATATAATTCGAAGGATAAAAATAATCCGACCAACTAAGAAGCAAACTTCAGAATCTTCATCGAACGACATTTTACCCCCCTTTCACATCATACATTTTATACTGCGACGAGAAAAATAATTCGAGAAATTGTGATTATTTTCCTCCAAACGGTACACACTTTCCGAAGAGGTTCGACAGGAATCCAGGGGAGCATTTCCGAGAAAACAAACCTGACTCTGATCGATTGTTGCTCCAAACGAGGCCACCTCTGCACTGCTGGAAGTAGTCGCGACGCGAACCCACCGCGCACGAGTTCAAAGGCACGTGAAAAATGTTTCTCAGGTCTAGACCCACGCACGTCAACTCCAACGTCATCTCGTCCACAGTCAAAACCAGCGTGTCTTCACACGGTCCTTGTTCGCCTTTTCAAAATCACAATTCCCAAGATATGGGTTAACATAGTTCTTGACAAACTGACTCCCTTTATCCGAACTGCGAAAACTTGCAGCAAGCGTCTCTCAAAGAGCAGCTGCGCTTCAATATGCTAGATGTCGTCTTCTGAGAGACTTAAGAACGAGTTACAATTTCAGTCAACATCAAAAATATAAGAAAATTCAAAATAAAAACCATTTCATTTCTATCGCAGTTAGACAGTGCAGAGACTGAAAATAATTCGCACAATATTAAACGTCAGATGACGAACTCTTAGGAAAAGCGGACAAGAACCCGAACAGAGATTCAAATTCTTTCTCACGGGACGCCATCAAAAAGCATATGAATTTTAAATGCCTGCGAGGGATGGATCGTCTTCAGAGCAATGAAGTAAATTGAAGAAAATCTTACCGAGGATATAACATTTCTGGGTCGGAGGCCAGAAAACTTCTCCATCTCGTCCACATGGATTCGGTCGGCAAATGATTGTTCTCGTTTTTTCATCAATAGCTAACAACTCCCCCTGAAATTACACAAAATCAAAATAGAGATATTCACCTCATTAATTTTCAATGCTCAGTTATGAAGTCTTTTTGCAAATAGAAAAATCCGCATTCCCCACGATTGCAAACGCTCAATTCCGGTATATCCCAAATATTAACATAATTAAATGGGAGTTTCATGAGATTTTCACCTCAAGGCAGGGTCCCCGGAGGTAAATTTGGTGACAAGTTCGGTCCTTCGGCCAGTATACGTGTTTCTTCCCACATTCGCAAATCGCTAGTCCATAAAAATCAAGAGTTAGTTCTTCCCCTTCTTTGCAAGTTTTTTCCAAATCTTCCGAACTGTGGCAATTCCCTACGAAAGAAAGGTTACAACGCATCTGAATTACCATCGAAAATTGATGCATGACACATTTTCATCATTAAAAAAAAAAAAAAACAGGACAGTCCGATCGCGGCTATGGAAGTTACACAAGTAGCGTTCCGCATGCAAGCCTCCACGGTTCTCAATGCTCGAAATTGACACCTAAATGAGCGATGATTTGGAGAAAAAAAACTCATTGAACGTGAAACCGTCAAAGGTTCGTAACAAAGAATTTCACCCACTTTTTCTTTACGACGCCTGCACTTGACTTGAACTGAGTTTTTCACTGAAGTAAGGTAAAACCGTGTAAAAAACGACCACGACCAATTTGAAATCGTCAATTTTCGAAGGACGCACGTCAGACTCGCATCGCTTGAGTCTTAAGTATAAACGAAATACGCTCAAACCAATCTTCAGATATCCAGCAAAAAGACAAATTTCACCAAAAATATTCTGAACTTAGTACGATCACGTTCCAGGAAAGAGATCGTCAAACAGAAAATTCAGATCAACAACCATAACACACCATAATAAATTATTAAAAATACAACGGGACTTCACGTACAACTTTTCTGACTACAGTACTTCAGTTAACCCAACACACAAATGCCGCATTGATCTTGTATGAAGGATTACCATCTCTTCCTAACATATTCCTGGCGGGGTCAGGACATGGAATAGAACGACAGCCGGCCATGCCTCCGTGTTCCGACGGGATCATGACAAGCCAGTTTCCAGGTTCGCAAATCGGAGGGCCCTCAGAGAAAAACGACACGCATATTCCGTTGTACATCACTTTGGCATTTCCCAGTGAACACAAATCAGCAGTCGCCTCTTCCACGGGAACCGGAGTCACGACAGGTAGTTCAGCAGGAAACAAATTTTCGACGTTTTTGTGTTGTGAAAATGCGGGATTGTCGTCCGGGAAAATGACCCTCTGAACTACAGGATTTTCCCTGCCACCCGGACTTGCCTCTTCTGCTGGACCTGGTCCTAAAGAATAGTACACAGCGCCTTGATTATCATACACGAACGACATGTGACAGAAGATAAGCAACCATAACTAATTACTTTACAACAAATCTAATTTTCTAAATCTATAAGTCCTTCATGATTTCGTAACTCTACGAGATGGGAGAAACTCCTCCGGGAACGCCCCGTAAAAAAATGAATATGACACATATCACAAGTAATAAATCCAGTTTAAGCATGGAGACGCACGAACGTGGAAAGGGGTTTTTTCTTCCTCAAAAACGTGCAATCGCCGATGTGAGCGAATTTTTCAAAACAACTTGCGAATTCCATAAAAATATATCACGGTCTTCTTGTGAGGATCAATTTTTGTCAAGAACTGAATGCTATCCGTCTGAGAGGGTTTTCGAACAAAAGCAAGTAAGGGCGCGAACCGATCACACATCATCTGCTCGACAAAACTATAGCAGACGGAGGATTTAACCAGGGATGTATAGTCAGTCATGGCTCCCTCCAAACTTTCGGCATAATTTTATAATCGATGTTAGGTGAGCATATTTGGATTCAAAACAGAGGCGTAAGTACTATGCTATCCAGTGCATTTGCGAAAACGAGATCTAAAGATTCGTCACGCACCCAAGATCTGAGTCTAAATCGATACAAGTTTGAACGTGAGGAATAGCGAAGGGTCATAGCTACAGCATCAGATGTCAAAGAGAATATTGATACAGTACGTCCATACCGGAAAGACATGCGGTTCTATGGATCGCTACATCACAATGAAACATATGACGCGTTTCCCCTAAACTTGAACTGCTTTCAGCTAAGTCTCACCGTCCTCAAGCGCTACGTCTTGGAAGGTAATCCCAGCCACGAAGCAGCCGTTGCAAGAATGGAAAACGATTCCAACCACGAAGAGAACTCGCAGCCAGTTTACTTTCAGGTGCCCTCGCATTTTTTGCTTATTCCCCAGGTCTACACTTGTTTCACGTCCTGAACTCATCACGGACTCAGTCTTCCGCTTTTCGGGCCTTAATGCTGGACCGATGAAGTTCCGGTTCCACTAGAATTGTGTTTCGCATATTTCTGCGTGATTTTTAGTGAAAAAGAAAAATGCACATATTCAATCAATTCCGCCCAACGTAGAAAATCGACCAACGAACTATTCGTTCAAAAGTGCAGTAATGTAATCACGAAAGCAGTACGTACTTTAAATTTAAAAAGCTCAAGTTTCGGGCCAATATTCTTTCACATGCCTTTCGTCTCAAATTCGAATCTCAATCTACCACCCGTACTACTGTACATCGTTGGGAACCATCTGAACGTCGTCCGCACCGCAATCTTCGTAAAAACCAATCAAACATGGAAAATCATGAGCACCTTCGAAGGAAATCAAATCCCAGGTCAATAGTCACGAAGAACTTCAATTTCTCTGATTTTAAACGAACACTGCACAATGCCATTGCCAAAACACACAACAAATGTACTGAAATATTGATACCGTACCTTGATTCGGATCCAGTACAGTCGTGGGATGAAGGTGTCTACTTCGTCGTTTCGTCACTAATAGATGGCCATCAACCGATCGAAAAAAGGGCAACTTCCGCAGATCTCCCTTCCTCACAGTACTTCTCCGATTTACCCAGAAGCGCAACCCCAAAACAGTAACACGCTCGCTCAATCCTTTCCCTGCAATCGGACCGACATTCAGGCGCGTGCACAAAAAATTACCATAACGCGTGTAGATGTCGCTCAATTATCCGATAAAAATGAATTGAAGGATAACCTGCCGCCGCCGGTAAAACCGCGGTTGACACGCGCGAGAAAACCATCGATCCCGCTTTTTTACGTTACAATTCAGCGCTTGGAATGGAAAGCTAAACTGAGAAAACAAATATCCATCAACTTCAAAAATAAAAACCTCTTCTATTAATACAGGTATATGCAGTGTCTTCGACGATTTTCGCTGATGTGCACTTCTACATCCGACGATGGATCACAATTTTCGTGTGCCACAATAAGTATAGTTCTCTAACCATCCCAAAAGGGTTCTCTACGATGAATTTTTCTCGCCCCCTGAATTCCAGTGTATAGAGATATTGTGTCTGTACACTGTTCGCCAGCACTTCTAATTGCGAAAATAACAATGCGTTGAATATCAGCGAGGTTTCGCGATTGTCGCGTTGCCTAAATGCGCGAAACAATTTTGAGGGATAAGTTTCGTGTTGTATGCAGAAATGTTCCCGCTCAAACTCAATGGTACGAAGAACAGCACATGTCACCGGATGACTCAAATCCTAGATATAGTACTGCGATGTACATCCAATGGTTTCATTCCTTGTTTGACAAATGTTTTACAGGAGCAGTTTTTTGGGAAAATCAGAACTGAGTTTGCTGAGACACTGATGTACAGCAGAGGTAAAATTAGAGAGAGTTGGAGGGAGAGAGAGATTGCGTGAGTGTGATGCGTGCCATATACTGTACTGCAGTACTGTATTGACAAATTACATTCTTCTGCTGATGACCGTCAAATGTTTTTCTTCTGACTATACAGAATATAGAGTACAGTATACACTCTTTTCTTTTGTTTTTAAATTAGTAAAATAGTTGTACTGTATCAGTATTCTAACTGCACTTGATAACTTTGTACATGTAGTAGTTCAAGTGGGTAAGCGAATACTGTACAGAACTACAGATGTTATCGCTCCATACAATAAAAAAAGCTTGCCCCAACACTACCACTCATCTCATGATGATGCGAGCATATCGTATAAATTTATGGCAAAAAAAAGAGTCTGTCAAGACATCAGATTAAGGTTGCCAAATAGAATTATAAAGTACTGTACAGCACATTCCTTTTACATCTTATTTGCCCAGGAAGAAAGAGTCTTTAATTGCACATTGCATGCATCTCCGTATGTGAAGAGGCAGGGAATAAATAAAAAAATGGAATAAGCCCCCTCGGTTTGCTCATTATGCTTGATTTCATGGCCTGAAATTAGCATCAGCTAAGCTAATTTTAATTCTAGGGATTTTTTTTTTGGAACCAAAAGCAAAGGACGTTCTTTATGAAATTCAAATAACGGAGTAATGCTTGCTTGTTGTAGAATTTCATCCATCAATATACAGGTGGTACCTCACAATTTTAACCACCCTGCAATTTGTCCATCCTGCAATTCCACAGTCAAATTTGCTGGACAGTCAACTTGGAATTCAACCTATGTCCTGTAATTCAACCCACATAGACATGCAAGACATCAAATGCAATGTAGAAAACATTGCTATTTCTTGCAATTGGCATTGACATTTTCTTGCAATTTGACTGCTTCACAATTTGACCTTAGTACAACAATGGATTAGGGTCATGGGGAACCACTTTTAGTTGGAAACTCTTGAATATACTGGCCAATGTTTTAATTGTTTAAAAAAGTTTTTTCAAATGATTGATTGATGCTGCTGATGAATTATATTCCAATACAACATGGACACATTCTGCATTACATGTATGGTACATCAGTATTACATTGGATGTAAAAGTTGAGAACATTTTTCCTACGCATTTGTGTCCTATCTCCTCTTGAAACTGTTAATAAAATCAAATTTTGGAAGGCAGTAAATGCATAAGCCTCTAAACCTATGATGTCTTCACTCTTTGTACCACGCCCATCAATTGCATCTCCAGGGAAATCATCCACACCAATGTTTGTGATTCAGAACTTGGACTGTTCTTATTTATTTCCTTGCCTACACAATTACTATAGGAATCGACGACATTCTTGGACTACAAGGGTTCGTTAAAGGTTATGCTTGCTGATGAATTTCTTCATGAATTCCAGCCAGTTTTCGTCTCTCTTCATGAGGGTTTTATTCAATTCTGGAAGATTATCCAGAGCTTCAATGACCGGATGCGAAACTTTTGCATCGATTTTCGCTTTTTCCACGGCTTCAGGAAATTTAGCTGGAGACGCCGTTGCGACACAGACAATGCTTCCGAACTGCTGCTGAAAATCTCTGCAATATTCTCAAGAAAAAATAATGTAACGTCAAGCATCATGTGACGCGGCTGAACTCGATAATTACACGCGATTATCCAAAAGGTGATGATAAAAGGCGACAGCCGTTGCAGTGTGCGGACAAATGATCTCCCTGTTCTTCACCCAACACCGCTTCATAGTTTGCAGAATTACTTCATCCGTCGCCACAAACGAATCTGAAAAATAAAAAGATACTGAGTGTTGCAGCAAGTGTATTTTACGGTATTTATAGAAAGCAAAATTGTTTTTTATCCTTGCCAGCAACAGCTTCCTTTAGGCAATTTCTGAACTTCTCCGGCAGCGCAACACTTTCTGCAGCTTCGAACAGTTCCATGACTTCCTTCACAGATTTTGTGTCTTTCTTCGAAAGAACGTAGAACACCCTTTCCAAATTGTACGGAACCTATAATTCCAAGGAAAAAAATAAATAGTGCGCAGTCATAAGTGGGTAATTTTGCTTAAAATATGAGAGATTTTACTTTGATATCCATGGCACAGGCCAAAGTCTTCTGAACGTCCGCAGCGTCAGCAGATTTTGACAGGGTTGAAGTTTGAATTATGTTGTGCATGGCCGCGTTTGAATTGTTGCAGATGACGAAGCGAATTGGAAGTCCCATCGCTTTTGCAAAAACCCCTCCTATGTACAGTAGTAATAAATTAAAGATTTTGAAAAAGGATGATTTGAAAGCTCCACCATTGTATATGCAGAAAAAAAGCATGTACAGCAGATTAGGGCTTTAAATTATACCTATTAAAATTTTGATGCATCTTTACAGCCCTGGAATTAAGCTTAGCAGTAAAAATCACGTCGATTAATATTTCGCTCGATTTTAAAAATTGCGCCCGATTTTATAAATCAACAATTAGTAAATCTGGCCTCTGTGCATAAAACAAATTACCACTTGTTTTCTGAAAAAACCTATTTATGGCTGTTGGCTTGCTTAGTTCCACGAGTCTTTAAATTTTAAACGATTGGAGAATATAATTGCAGAGGTAGCTTCTTGCACTAAAATTTATATTTCAGGCTTGTCTGATCAGAAAAAATAATTGAAATGTTGAGAAACATGATAGGCGACAAAGAAATATAGTTCTACGAAATCTAAAAAATACGAAGAGAAAGCCAAGAAAGATGTTGACAATGTCTCACATCTCACATCTGACCGATTCAAACAAAACAATACTCATCAGCACAGTACATATGTTACTTCATCTCTCAAGATTGGATAAATTGAAATTTTTTACGAATGATTGCGCGAGAAAAAACAATTTTTCTTTTGATATAGGATCAGCTTTAACTGTTCATGAGCTGCGCCTGTTTTTAAAAATTGCTCATCATTTTTTCCTGCGGTCTACCCTGTAAATTCGAACCTGCAAGATTTCCGCCTCCACCGGTTGGAAGGACGAAAGTAACTGCGTGATCGAGTCCCGTTTCTTTGCTCTCGATAACCCGGAAGTACGAGTAGAAGAAGTAGGGAATTTGCAGAACGATACGAGCCACGTTGATTGAGTTGAAAATGGCAATGTTGTGGGTTTGCTGGAGATTCTCGTCTCTCGTCAGGTCCTTCAGCACGACGTCCAGTTCGTCAGAATTCCCTTCTCCTTCGACGATGTGAACGTTTTCCGAAGATATCGTCGTCATCTGTCGTTCCTGCGTCTTCGTGATGAAGTTTTTCGGGAAAAGGACTATTATGGACCCGTTTTCCATCGTGGCCACAGCCCTTGCAGCCGAACTTCCGGTATCACCAGAAGTTGCTGTAGTTGAATATATGAAGCACACGACATCTTAGTGAAGTAAAGTACATTTTCTGGGAGTCGCCTTTGCAATTAATTCAATTTTGCAATCCGTAATTATCTTGTGTTTCGAATGAGACACTCGCGAGAATTCCAAAATATTCAGAGACTGGGAATGAAACGTCGAAAGGCGTAGCAGAAAAACAAAATTGCTTGCTGCGGGATTCTTCTATCGTGCTCATTATTTTACAAAATTTCTCTTTGAAATTCTCCCTTACGAGCTACCATTTTATGTCGATGTTGCATTCCTGAAGGCATATAGAATATTTACTGGATATATATTCAGAAGGACAGAAACATGTATACAGTACTGTAGATGGAATTTGAGGTGTTGTATTACTGGGAAATGCCACACACGTGTACAATATACAGTACAGTACGTGTAAATCTTTGTTCATTTTTTTTTAATTTTTAAGCTGCAATGTTAATTTTCTAAATATGAAGGTCTTCGAGGGTTGTATAAAATAGTAATACTTTCATTCAACCCGCTCCAAAACATTGTGGACTTATTCAAGATTGTACAGTATATTTAAAACTGATTTATGATTTTAAATTTGTTTTTTCAATTGTCTTCCGTCTGCCAAAAATGGATCAATTTTTTCTGCATAGAAGTCTACGGGGAAAATAAAACCTGGTTAAAAAGTTTTGTCTGAAACCATTCAAGTTCTTTCTACCACGAAGGGTTCACTGTCTACTTATTTTTCCAACACAGAGAGTTTTTTCCCAGGTTATGTGGGTTCTGGACTTCTGGACAACAAAATTTGCTCTTAAACACACGATTTTTTTCTGGTCCATTGAAAATACAGTCCATTATTTTGTGCCTCAAAACTTCGCACCCGCCGAAACATAATGACATGCTATATGGTGAACGGATAGATTCTCAAACATCAACCGCACTTGTTTGATTTTTTTAATGCTCTACTTCTTGGTAGAATTTAAAAAATTGAGTTACCGACAACAGCAAGACATTTTCTTTGACGCCTCTTTAGTAATTCGTCGGCAATCATGGCAACTCCGAACAAGGCTAAATCCTTGAAAGCCAGTGTTGGTCCGTGAAACAATTCAGCAATCATCGTTCCGTCCCCAGGAAATTCGACAACTTTCAAGACCTCCGGGTGATTGAAATTCGCGTAACAATTCCTGAACCTTTCTGTAAAAAGAAGATAAGAAAAAATCAAAGAGAGATGAACAATTCATCTCTTCGAAGTGATCGAGGAGTTGAATTTATCGTCAGGCAGACATTCAAGGCAAAATTCTTTTCTTGGAATGTGTGACATAACCTCTGCTTTGTTCGATGCTTCCGAGAAGCCGATCGGAGTCGAAAAGATCCAGAATTGCGGCGCATAAATCCGGATAAGACATGGTTTTCCATTTTGCGAGGGTTTCCTCGGAAATTGATGGGATTTCTTCCGGGACGTAGAGTCCACCATCTTCCGCATACCCTGAATTGTTCAACGAATAAACAAATAATGTTAGTGTGTCTTATCACTTCGAATATTGATAGCGCACTGAAAATTGCAGGCAATTTTTTGCACAGTGGAACTTCGATTATGCGGGTCAATGACCGGTAGCCTTTTTCAAGATGATTGATGATATCACGGATAATGAAAACTCTCTGATCAAATCGTCACGTAACAATCATTAACCTGATATAAAGTATTTCAAGAGGTACTGTACGAGTTCAGTGACGGGAAATTGATTGTGAAGAATTTTTTCAGGAGTGAAAAAAATGTACTGTATTTAGAGACGAATGCTGCTGTGGTTTTGTCAAATTCTCACATATTTTTTAGGAGCTAGTCCATTTTCATTCCCGTTTGATCGATGCCCAGACGGAATTGTGTGATGGAATGGTGTATATAGAACAGTTTTCAAAGCATCATAATTTTCAAGTGTCAATGTAAGGAACAATAAAATTGATGGAATTGCTGAAATGGATGAAAAATCCTCCGATTTCTCGGTCGAGAAAACGTTAAATTCAATTCTCGTTCTATCAAAGCGCAGACAATTCGAGTGCTACCACAATGTGAGAAATGACACTGAGCTTCATTTCTTCTGGGATGGGTAAGAAATATACCACGTATCTATCGTACCTTTGATAATGACGTCAGAAAAGGACTTTCCTGATTCTCCGCCACGAGTGCTGCAGAATTTCATCGCACCTGTACACGCTTTTCCAACTACCCAAGTCAAGTATTCTGAGAGCTATTCAGGAAAAAAATTCAAGACCTCTGAACAGATTCTCTCCTTGCTTGCAACTGCCATTGCTCGTGCAAGTCCTTTGATCAAAGAATTTCTCACGTTACGCACGCAGGTTCAAACTTATGGAAGGAAGGACAAGGTTCCTCCATACATCGGATTCAAGAATATATTTTTTGCTCCTCTCAGAATCCACATAAATGCCCGTGATTCTAAATCTGACATCAAAAAGCACTTTGGGGGATAAACATATCATTACTCAACGGAAACCAAAGGATAAACACAGTCATGCACTTCTCAAGTTTTAGTTTTTGGTCACCCCACTCTCAATTTGTCAATTCCTGAACTGGGAAGCTTCCGCTTTTACGAATAAATGAACTGAAATTTAAACACTGCATTTTACTACGGATAAGTGTACAGGAAAAAGTGAAACATACTCATCCATACAAAACGAATACGAAGGAATCGCTGTAAATCTGCCCTAGGTCTTACCAACACAGTTGATTGCAGAAAAGAGAAATACATGAATTCCGGAACGAAATCAGCGCAAAATGAAAAAATGTGGATGCGTTGAAAAATACAATTTTTGAACTTACGTATGGTAACTTTGGGAAACGGATAATTCCCCCAATTCTAATTCCCCCGCCCCTATTCCCCCCGCTCTAAAATCCCCGATCCTAAAATCCCCAATTTTTGAAATCCCCGACGTTTATTCCCCCTGGTGTCTAATTGCCCCGAAATAAAAATCCCCATTTACTAAAATCCCCGAAAATGCAAAATCCCCAAATATACAAAATATCACAGCAAATGAAAAAAATTCGGCCAAAATTGGATTATTTTCGTATGCTGTGGTGTTTTATGTTTTCTGAAGGTCAGAAAAGACCTTCCAGGCGGGCTGAGGCAAAGTTGGGATTAATCCATGAAAAAGCCCATTGCTTAGCATAGGATTTCTTTCATTTTCCCATGAAATTTTTCTGTGCAAAAAGAAAAAAAAAATTGGATTTTTCCCCAACTTCATCCTCAAATCCCTTTTTCTACCCTGAGGTGAGCAGAAGAAGAGGGATGCCAACCTGAAGAATCTGTGTCAATTGTTCAACAGGCACAAAATTAGTCTGGAAAATTTTTTGAAGGAAACAGCTAAAGCAGTGAAACTGAGATACAATTAATAAATTTTTTTATTGCTGATGTGACTTTTTTCACATTTTTTGTTTTTTTCAATTTTTACTTTTTTGTTTCTTTTTTCAAATTTTACGTTTTTTTTCATTTTTACGTTATTTTAATTGTTATTCAATTATACTTGTTAAATTCAATTTTTTTCACTCAGAAATAAGAAAAACAATTGTCCAACCATCAGTTTTTTATTTTCGGGGGAAATTGTACTTCAGGGATTTTTATTATGGGGGATTTCAACAAAAAGCAGGGAAATTTAAATCTGGGAAAATAACACTCTGGGATTTTAAAAATTGGGCATTTCAATTTCGGGGATTTTTGTGACCGGGGATTTTAAAATCGGGGATTATTATTTGGGGGAAATAGAGGTGGGGGAATTAGAATGGGGGGAATTGTCCTACACCCAATTATATGTGCCATTTGTTGTGGACCAAAGCAACACAGCTCCAGCATCTGGCCAAAACCGCACCCCAAAACCTGTTGTATTTCTGAGGCCAGTGAGCCTCGCAAAAATCCCATTTTTGCGAGACTCACTGAGCCTCACTCAAGGACAAGAAGTGGTCATCACTTCTTCATAGTGTTGTATTCATGACACCATTTATAAACCTGAAAACAGTCAATATCCACTATTTCAAAACATGATTATGAAATTCATTGCATCAATATTCCGTGTGTGAAGAAAAATAGAGATGATGCTCAAAAAATTGAAAATAGCCAGAAATCGAGTTACTAATGATTTGGATATAAAATCAACAATCAGAAAGAAGGATTGAAATTCAATGTGTAATGGGATTTCTAAAACTCAGAAGATGAAATAAGAGCACAAATTAATCTGGGACTAATGTCCCAATATGATGTTGTTATATTGCACAAAAAGAGAAGTAGCTTTTCAACAATCCACTCTGTTAGACCAGATTCAAATCGAGACAAATTCAATTGACAATTCTGAAAAATGTGCAAATTTCTTGCTCTCTCCAGAGATCAGCTCAAATCAACTGCACAATAATTTAGAATGTGTTAAAAAAGAGATGGTCAGAGAACAGATTGATTTTCAGGAGTATTTCTGGAGGTCAAGATTGACCAGTTCCAAGGAAACTGTTTTTAGTTGTCCTTTTCTGGAGCCTGGGAAGTGGGAACTGAACATGGGTTTGGTGCACAGACTCATCAAAAACACATCCCTTCTCAGAAGATTCGCACTAATTCAGTGAGGTTCCATTCAGAAGTTTAACCAAAATGTTTTCCTGAATCGTAGGCATCTGCAGCATTTAATTCAGAGAAATAATGACGCTTGAAACCCCTTGAAAAGCTTTGTCAATCAATCTATAGGAATACCTGGATATTTTTGATCAATTCCAAACAATAAAATTGCATCCATCACATCTCTATAGGAATCAAACGACTGCGCTTGAATTTGAGCCAGTCAGCATTTGAAATTTTTTCAGATTGACTCCCTCCAATGCAGGCATTTCCATGAGGCAAAAACCACGCATAATAAAAATAAATGTTTGTCTAGGAAATTATTCAAATACATTATTGTATTTTCTGTTGGGACCAGAAAATAATTCTTTGAATGGAGAAAATTCCTGAAATTGTCTGAAAAAATGGAGGCATGATAATGATGCCTGCATATAATTGATCAATATTTTGAAGAATTATGAGTACATAATGATAATATTGCTCACCCGAGGAAGTTTGAAACGCTAATAATACCTAAATAAAATCTATTTAAATTTTTGGAACGTGTATATACATCCTCCTTTTCGGACCATGACTCGTACATTCCAATCGAAGGTGTAAATTTTCAATCCGGTTCCGATGAAATTCGGCGAAAAGATCATCCGGGTGGCTGACGGAATTCTTCTCGATTATATTAAAGGAAAAGGTATTCGCGGTATTTTCTGCTGGCGAAGCGAAGAATAGAAGCTTCTATCCTCTTTTTTTTTTTACATGTTTCAACAGAAGACAGTCAATGACGCATGGCGGGGACGGATTTCTCCACACGTGTGGAATTCTTGAATATTTTTCCCCAGCCACGGTTTGTTGCTCATGCAAAACTGGAATCTTGCTTCACGCAAACAATTTTTCGCATAATTTTTTTCGTGTGCTATTTTTCGCTGTTTTTCAGGGTATGATTTTTTGGTTTTTTTTTCTTCGAAAATTATGCTCCAGTGGAATGGGTTAAGTACATGCCTAAAAAACTGCTGCTGTGATGGTAAGATGCAATGAAGTATATGAAGAATGGATTTTGAATTTTGATGTGAAAAATCTTTTTTCTTGTATTTACAGGCAAATCGCTTGGATGATGTAGACTTGTAGAGTAAGGCATGTAAATCAATATGATATTTATATATTTTTTCACTTTCCCGCTTTAGCTCAGCACTCGTGTTTTTGAGATCAAAGCCAGCATGCTGCTTATGTTTTTCAAGTCGAGTAAATTGAAAATGAATGACGCAAGTGGTATAACATTGGAGAAACCAGCGGTGGAGTAAAACTAAGTTTAAATCCCAGTTGTGAATGCAGGTTTTCCCGTCCCCAATTAAACTTTAAAAGATGAAAGGAGTGTGTCTGATACTGTATACACCTGAGCCTTTTTCGCGGCTTTTCTTTGCTTGAGGGAAATGTTTTTAAACTCATTTCAAGTTCTGAGAATTTATGGCTCTCGCTATAGTATGGTTATTTTAGCCTTGTGTACATTACGGTGGTGAATATTTCTAGATCTTCCGAAAGCTAACCTGAGTAACCTCGGTCAAACAATGGGAATTCGTGTCGAAAATACATATTGAAACAGAACTACTGTACAAAAATAACTTGAGTGCCACTAATGGCCCGGAAATCGCAGCAATGAATTTTGAATTTCACCTCAAACCTGTCTAATATTGGGGTGCAGGAGAAAATCCCGGGGCCCAAAAATCCCGTGCGGCCAAACACCCCAATAATCTCGCGGGGTCCAAAAATCCGGTAGGTACAAAAATCCTGAAAAAGGAATTTGTATATCAGAAAAACCTCCTTTGAGAACTACAGAAGGCAATGGTATTTGAACAATTCAAAACTATCAACAAAGTCTAAATGCAGTTATACAGTGATATTTCATTTTCAATCTTAATATTCAATATACAGTACATGATGTAGGGAATATCAAAAAAATCTTTAAAAAGTCCACAAATTTTCAACTCTACAAGATTTCCACCAAAATTGATGCAAGTTTATTACTTCAGAAGGGAAAGTTGAGCTCTGAAAATCATTGGAAAAGTACACAGTTTATATATAAAACAATGCAGGGATGAATGCTCCAAATGAAGGCGACATCTTTCCCAGGCTTCCTCACCTTTTTCTTGAGAAAGATGAGGAAGTGAAGGCCGTGAGGTTCTATTATTGAGAAAGGTATATAATCCCTAAACCTCCCAAACCCTTGGAAGGAATTAAAACCCTCGCACTTTTGGGTATTAAGGTGAAAGGGAAACCCGGAGACAATGCTACAATTTTATAGTACTCATCGGAATTTTGGTAACTACTGCATTTTTGGACCCAGTGAGATTTTTGGGCCTATGGGATTTTTGGCCGGGCCACACGGGATTTTTGGGTCGCGGGATTTTTTCTCCTATGGCATTTCATCATGGAATCCTAATATTGAGAGAATGCAGGAATATCTGTTTGACAAATCTTCAAAATTGCAGTTTTGGTGATGAAGTCCGACATAATTGTTCAACCATTGTGAAGAGAATATACTGCAAAAACCCCAGTAAAGGTTTTTTCTCCTCTCTGACATTTTATTTAGATTAAAAAACCGTCTTCAAACAACGGTCATCCTGAGGTATCACTACTCTCATGTTATTCCTTATTATACTGTATATATTTGCATACTTTTGTCTGTGTTCGCATTATTTGTATACAAATATAGTATGTTGTTCTTCACATGTTTTCAGTCTTCCTTGAATTGAGAGACAACAATCAATTGACATTTCCAGGTTGATCTCCATTCCAATCAAATCACACAAAAAAAAACTGTGACAAGAATCTATATGTTTGTTGTGTGTT